GGGGCAGCTCGTTGATATGGATGAAAAACAGAGTGGGTCCCAGTACCGTACCTTGAGGTACACCACTGGTCGAGGGATACCAATCGGTTAGATGGCCGTCCACCTGTACCCTACACTTTATTCCAACGAGAAATTCATGGCTCCATCGATGTAACGATCCTCCGACACCACACGACCTTAATCTGCCTAGAAGCAATTCATGATTAACTTTGTCGAATGCTTTGCTGAAGTCGATGAAGATTACGTCGACGGACTTTCCCCGGTTCAGTGCTTGCAACCATTCCTGTCTCGTCACAAGTAAGTTGGTAACACAAGAATATCCCATCCTGAATCCGTGTTGTGCCGGTGTCAGAAGTTCTTTCGATTGCAACAGATGTATTAAACGCTTTTTTACTATCTTCTCGATCACTTTGGCCAAAACGGGTGGAAGACAAACTGGCCTGTAGGTATCCACCTTACTGGGGTCGCCACCTTTCGGGATCGGCCTCACCACCGAGCGCTTCCAGTCGTTTGGCAATGAGCCCTCAGACAATGATTTGTTGAATAGATCCGTAACAGCAGGCGAGATAATGGCAGCTAGTGATTTGATAATTAGCGGATGAAGCCCGTCAGGCCCTGCAGGCTTGGTACCGTCAAGGTTCGCAAGTAGCAGGCGCACCTCGTCGACATCACAAACCAAACTGTTGAGTTCTACAGGAACGTTACTCGCTGAGATGGGTATGGACGCCGCGTCGTTTGCAAACACGGAAGCGAAGTGAGCGGCCAGTGCGGACGCGCGATCGGAACTGGAAGTTAGCAGATGTCCGTCCGCGTCTTCCAGACATGACACGTCACCTTTTGGCTTCAAACGGCGTTTCACGTAAGCAAAAATCTTCTTTGGGGCCATCCTCGCGTCAGTTGCAAGCTTTTCTTCGAACTTCCGGCGCTTTATCAATTTCACTTTGTTGCAAATATTTCGCTGTCTTTTATATGCTTCGTAATCAGTGGCGGAGCCAGAGAGGCGAAATGCGTCCCACATTCTTCGCCGTAACCGAGCCAGCCTACCATATTCATTGTCGAACCAGTGTGGTTTGATTGGTCCGACTTTCTGAAATTTCAACGGCCCAAACTGAGAACAAAGCGAAGCCAATCCTTCCTTTATTACTGTCCAACCGTCCTCCACAGATGTAACATGCGGTAGAGACCAATCCATTTGGCTCGCTGCTCGATTTAATCCATCGAAATCAGTTTTCCAGTAGTTGTAAGCTGGTCCCACCGGAGATACACTCGGTAAGTTCAGTTTCATAGTGGCTATCAGCACGGAATGGTCGCTTTTAGCTAGGGGCTCCTGGATTCGTATGTCATGCAACCACTGTTCGCAATTCGTCACCATCAAATCAAGGCACGATGGGTTCGAACGCGCCGTCATGCGCGTAGGTTGGTATATGTGTTGCGATGCCCCAGTTTCAAGCAACAAATCAATAAACTTTGACTCGACTTCAGAATACCCGGGCATGAGTTGGATTTCAGGCCATTGAATGTGGGGACAATTGAAGTCACCCATGAGTAGAAAACATGGACGACTCATGTTGTTCCGAAGATGCGGTAGCCAATCTAAAGAGCGGTTCAGAGGGCTACGGTAGAATGCACCTACTGTCAGCTTGCCGCGCCTGAGGTTGATCGAGCACCATACCTGTTCACACAGTCCAGCTCCACTTCGGTATACGCTTACAAGCCTCCCACGCAGGGAAGACCGTATATAAAGTAAGATACCACCACGAGGATTTGATATTCTATCGCAGCGAAAGCATGAGTAACCACTGAGATCGACTTCCTCTGCCATTACCTCAGAAGTTAGCCATGTTTCCGCCAGCCCTACGACGTCTGGTCGCTCAGAGGCAAAGAAGCGACACAGCTCATCCCGTTTGTTCATAAGGCTACAGATGTTTGTGAATGCAGCACGGAGGTCCTGAGAGGCACAGCGGGACGTGCCTGGAGGTTGATCAACCGACTGATACGGGTTCGTGCACCCTTCTTGATCACTCGAAAATTTACGATGTGTAGATCAGTTTCGCCTTCTTCTGTACGGCGTTTAAGCTCAAGGACCGCAGTCTTCAAGCGGTTCCTCTCTTCGGGTTCCAAGTCTCGGCGGATGTGAACCCTGGTGCCTTTAAGCCTGGAGAGACGAAACAGAATGAGTTGTGGCGTGTTGTGGTCAGCAAAGGTGATTCTTAAAGGTCGACATGATTGGTTAGTATGCTGACCAAGTCGGACTACTTGTTTAATCGTTACGCTGCCTTCACCCACATCCAACAGTTTATCAACGAGTCCCTGAAGGAACTTAACATCGTGATCATAACGTTGCTGAGGGTTTCCATCTTTCGACTCTGGTGCATGGAACACCATGAGATTATAACGCCTCAGGGAGATCGGTGACGAACTTGAGGCAGCAGGAGTGGAGGGGCTTGTCGTTTTGGACGGTCGTCTATCGTTAGGGGGAGGCTGAAAGTTGTTGCGTGAACTTTTGCGTTTTTGAATGATCCATTTATCTTCAGTGTTCAGAGGTTCACAGGTATGCGCTGAAAGATTAGGGGGCTCCGACTTTGAGTCGTCAATCTGTGGGGAACATTGGTTGTGAGAATCGGTAGGGGTAGAAGACGCTGGCGGTGGTGCAGATCGTGGAGTTGCAGGGGAAGGGGAGTTCACAGAGGTAATCTCACGAGCGCGTTTGACCCCACAAGCTGAATGAGGTGGTTTCGTCTGGGAGATGGCATTTCCCGGAGCCGGTAGTGGTCTCCGTGCATTTTGTTGTAGTAAACCGCGGCATTTATCACACACAACTTGGAAAAATCTATGTCGGATGTCAACAGATTTTCGGAAAACTTCCACGGATAGGCCGATACACGAAATATGAAACAGAACATCACAGCCGAAACAACGAAGTGCATGGGCCTTTTGTCCGACAACTTTCGAACATGAGCCACAAGTAGATTGGCACGGCATCACACGTTGGAGCAAATCCAAGATGGCGGACACAGACGGTAATTTGATTTATCAACAAGTTCTCCGAAACAAGTGAGAGAATGCTCACCAAATTTTCACAACTTGAAGACTACACCAAAAAGAAACTTTTTGGTACACAGTTAACACAGATGAAACACAAATAACACAGTAATCCGGAAGCGGAAGTAGAATCCAGAAGCAACGCTCAAAAATCCGCGGCAAGTCAGCCCCATCAAACAAAAACTGGGTGTTGAAAGTGCGCTGGATCAGTGGTTCTTTCAGGGTCAAAGTAGGTATGCCAACAACTACTTGGTTTTCATTGACAGAATTAAACAACGGCAAACTCGTGAAAAGTTAAGTAACGTCGAGAAAGCACATGGTTAGATCCGTGACATTTAGATCGCGCACAGTACCTACGAAAACAAAACTGTCCTTAAGAATGTGCACAGCAACTTGCTTTCGAATAAGTTCCAGAAGCTCGACCATCCACCGTGCATTGGAGTGATGCGGTGGCCGTAGGGGAATATCAGGCTTATACAGTCTAGAAATTACAGTGCCTGTGGGGTGTGCATTTCCGCAAGCTTTTGGAGACAGTTGCAGATTTGACTTTCGAGCTGCTTTATCCTGTCTTTCCCATTAAGTGGCTTTGAAAACATGGCATCGTCTGTCAATATTTCGTTCATTATTCGAAAATAGGATATGGTATAAGAATCGATCAGATGGGTCTGACACTATCCAGACCAACTCAGTCAGATAACACGGCATCAGCTCCGTCATCGCAATGAACACCTGGTGCTTCAGCGCTATAGCTCAGTGTAAATAAATTGGAATAACGTCAAGATATCAAAATCTAGACAGATTGTAGCTTGAACGTAGTGATGGTTGTCTCTAGTCAACCGTTTGGAAGTCGGATCACTGGACAGAGGTTGCACTCAAAGATAGCCGCGACTGCGACGAATGAAAGCGAACAGATGGAAATCTAATTAAAAGGCAACGCCGTTTTCACAAAGACAGCAGAGAAGCTACCAGGAAAATATAAAAATGTCCGACAAGTGGTACTTTCTAGGTGGTAGCAAAAATCAGACAGTGCCTAAGAGCGATGACGAAGGCGAAGACGGCAATTACCGACTGCACCATGCTAATTAAAACAAAATGTATTGATAAAAGCGGGGTTTTGAATGGAAGCGGAGTTATTCAACTACCGCATTCCACTCAGTCCTGATTATCACAAGCCATTAGAATTCACACTCGTCGCCATTCTTTCTATCCTAGATTCGGACAAGGCATGACAAGCTGCAACAATCAACGGAATCTTGCACCACCCTGATGGTATGTGAAAGTTAATGTTAACTACCGTGTTTCCGCTTCGACCTCAATCGCAGATTGATCCAGAGGACATAACGGGCAGAACGATATCGGAGCAAAATCGCCGGCAGCTCATTCATTAATCTACCTATTTATACTTCCATCCAGTTGCTTGGTCCCCTGACACAGGGAAGTTAGATGGAAAAGTATTACTGCCAGACTGAAATGTGAGACGCTGGTTAATGCCCACTGGTGAATAAAAATACCAACACTGTACCGGTACGTCATGCTGATGTTTCGCTGTGGTGCAAACGAAAGCGGGTGTGAGCAGGATGGAATACTGCAGGCACTCCCAAACCAACATAAAGAATCTTACTGTCTCGTCCAAGGAGTTCACAAGCCAGGTGATATAATCCCAATCTGGAAAAACACCAGACGATCTTTTTGTTCTATTGAGGCTGATACGATGCATTTCCGGGTTTAACTATCTGGCTTATGAGCTGCTTGGACGAACAAGTAAAGTTTCATCAAAAAAATTCTACGACTTATTAATAATACGTAGAAACCCGAATTCGGGATTATGGGGAAACAAACCAAATATCTGTATCATTATGTTGCGGATTCCACAACACTCATGTGAAAGTGGGGATGGTAAGTTGCTAGAAAACCTGGAGAGTAATGTGATGCAAAAATAACAGTGGATAACATCTTACCAGAAACCCAGTTGAACAAGATGGCCAATTTGCTTGTCGTGTAGCAAAGCACGTATCTCAGCTTTCACCTTAGGATTGTCTAAAGGAGTACAGAGTGCGTAGTCCCCCGCGGAGAAATAGAAGGCTCTTCTGAATCGTTCAGGAATCGAGAGTAACAGGTCGTTTCCAAACTCGTCGATCGCAGTAAAGAGACAATTACCTTGTGATTTCACCAGCTGCAAGTATGAGAAAAGTCATGGAGCAGGTTCTAACTTTGCAGATGAATTCACCGGGATTGGGCGAATGCAACATGTCAAAAAGTTCGCGCTCGACTCTTTTGCGTCGAGTCAAGGAAGATGGATACATCGAACATGCGATTCAATCTGGTGCGAGGACTGGAGTAGGTCGGATAGAAAAGCCCACTTTGGAACACCTTAAGAGCAAAAAGACAAGAAACGCTGAGCGATCAATCATCGTTAATAAAAGAAAAGTTGTGAGAAATTTGATAACCAAAGTGACATCGATGGGTAGTAAACAATGACAAATCTATGGGCAGTAGAACGGTGATCAACCGTGAAACGAGTGTGCTTATCGATTTATTGATTGTATGGTGAGTAGTTTTCGGGGAAGAGAAAAGGAATGCAAATATACAAATAGAAATTAGAAGTGTGAACAACACGTTAGCAGGTTGGATGCTAGCAGACGATACCCTGACTGTTGGTGACAAGTAACAGTGACTTGACCAAAAAATGAGATAATCAGTGATCCGACATGCCGGTCGATCACACGCCTGCCTTGTATTGCGGAAGACACCGGTTCCAGCCTGTGTATGTGGACGGAGACACTCGTAATATCCTTAGCTCAAGCGGGAATGGTGGTCTATGCATCAGTACGGCGCACCAGTGTAGCAATCTAGAGGTACCCCCGATTTACCTGTACAAAATTCTAATATAAATTACTAACACATTGCGGATCGTTGAACTGCATGTTGTGTTCGATTGCTTGAGTCGGGCGCCGCCTTTGCCTGGTGTTCGCAAGATCGTTCTGTGTGCTGTGCACTTTCTCTTTCCCCCTAGCTAGCAGCGTCAAAGTGGTTTTTTATAGATAAACCAACAGGGAGCCGTTTAATGTACAAATAAAGCTACCATACACTTAAGCTGCCTTCTGGACTTCTGCTAAATCGGCGTACTGCTAGCGCTTTTATGCACAACGTAGCACTGGGAAAAGGTGGAGTGGATACGCACTTTACTGAAGGGACCTTCACAAATGGCGAACACAGACAATAATTTTATGCCCCAAAAATGTAAAGTATGAAACAGCGTATAACATATTTCTCAAGGGAGATCCTACATCAATCACAACTGCGTTGTCTCGAATTGCTGCTGTTGTTATATTAAAACGGGCTTTCAGGAATTCTGCATACTGATCCTGTCACGAAAATCAGTTGTGTTTTTGCTGATAGTACGGTGAACCGACTGTCTCAAATTTCAGACCGAATCATAAAACAAAACCTCCGATTAAGCCCAGGAAGATACAGCTTCATTGACAGTTAATTAATTTGCTTATAAAGTTCAAGAGAAATGGCCCATGTTACTAGTAACCAGTAAAGGCCGGCTAAACGTTCTCGATGGTTTATTCGAAGCCAAAAGCACGATCATTGACTACCTCTAACGCAAAAGTGTTCTCATTGACTGGATACTGGTTAATGAGTTTCGAGCTGGGTTGGTCGGTCGGTGGCCGAGTGGTCTGCACACTTGGCTTACAATCATAAGGTCACCGGTGCTAATCCACGTAAAGGCAGGCGTAATCGCGGTATACTCAGCCCACGCGCGACTGCCGGTTGTCGCGCGGCAGCGAAGCACCGTTACGGCGTACAGCTGACACATTACTTTATTATTTCTACGCTCGTGCTCCAAATCGAGTGACAGTTTTGGACACAGCCTCTCCAGCGGTAACTGATCGCGATATGATCGATTTGCGTCCATTACTAGCCCGAGGCTGGTGGCCGCCAAGTCACGCGTCTGCGGGTGCTGTGTCGAAAGTTAGTGCTCACGAGTAAGAGGCGAGCATCTTCACACAGCTGTAGCAGTCGCTCACCGTTATCATTACGCGAGCCTACACCATGTTGGCCGCCCAGATGAAGCTCATCAGAGGACAATTTTCCGACTTGGACGTTTAGATCGCCAGCCAACACCACAGTATCCGTGCTTCTTCTGTAACGAAGGAGCTCATGAAGTTGCTGATAGAAATCATCTTTTACCGAATCAGTGCTACAGTTTGTAGGGGCGTAAGTCGCAATGACAAACAGGCAACGTTTGTCCCCGCGCGACTTCGTAGCACGGAACGAACCAGCTAATCTAACGGCGCACATCCTACTGTTTACTGGGATCCAATCAATCAGGGCAGCTTCAGCCCGGGGACTCAAAATAGTGCCGACGCCAGCTTGACCGGCATTTGAAGCTGCATCATCGCCAGACAGGCGCAATGAGAATGTGCCGGCAGTGTCCCATGTGGGGGATCTCAGGGTAAGCACGGAGCTCGAACCTTGCAGGCGGGTTTCTGATAAACAGCAAATATCGATCGATAGGGTCTCTAGTGTGTGGGCAAGTGCTGCCTGTTGGCCAATCTGTAGCAAAGTGCGCACGTTGAGACATGCCAGTCTTAGCGAGACGTGAGGACTCCAAAGGGAAACAGATGAGCTGACGTCCGTTTGGTTGAACCTGGACATGTCAAATGGATTGGAGCGACGTGATGCGACTGTGTGTGACTTGAAACTAGAAGACAAGCGACTATTGAAGCAAGCTGGGGGAGGGCCAAGAATTGGGGATTGCAAATGGGGGGATAAAAGTAAAGTTGGAGCGGGGCGATAAGGATAAAGAAGCGCAAGAAGGGGGATAAGAAGGCGGGAAGGCCTGAGCAGTAGCATTCATACCCCTATCCACCCTGCTCGATGCAGCAGATAGGGCACCGTTTATTATCCTCTGCGACGGCCAGAAAATCAAGAAATTGTTTGATGAAGGATTCATTGTATTGTATTGCGTGGGCAGAATACTGTCACGTTGCCCAGGCCTAGGCAGGAGAACGATTAGGGTTCTCAACCATAGACTTTCGCTCAAAAACCTTACCGCAAGACAGTGGGTTTTGGCACTGGACTACAGACAGGCCGTTTTATGAAATGAGGAGCCACCCTCATTCCAACCCCCAACCTGGAGGATCAGGAGGCTGTTTGTCTGGCCTCTAACCATTGACCAATCTGGTATGAGTGGCTCTGAAGGTGCAAAAAAGCACCACCCAGCATAGCTCATTGGATCTCTGAGGCACGCAAACCATCGCACCACGGTAAGGTCCAGCCTCATATAGCGACCGAACAATTCTGCTATAACTGGTAACCCCGACCTATACGGTTCACTGCCGAACGAAAATTTTGTAAGCCACTTACTAATTTTTCTTTCCAGGTTCGTTTAGTTTTGCGTCGATCCATTTTTATATTTCTGTGCATATTTTGGGTTCTATATCGATTACTTTGTATCATTTTTCGGTCATGGATAAGTGTCACGCAGTCCCCGACGGCCAGGTTGAAAATGTAACCATCGCCACCCCACCCATTAGCGAAAGCAATCCAAAATCCAAATCGGTTGTAGGCACTTTTCGAACTTCGTGACATTAGATCTGCAAGAGTCAAATAAGTGTACGTCGTCTCCGCAGGTTGCCGATGATAGCGACGATATCTTCGAGTTACCAGCAGAGAGGAAAACTTACGAGTAAATTAAAGTAGCGGTCTTCAAAAGGACAAGTCTTTCAGATCGTAAAGATATCAAGAAGCTTCTGAGTGAAACGGAGTTGGGTGACCTCAAACCACCGCAGCTATTGCGAAAGATGAAAAGTTTAGTCAAACCCGAAATGGTGGAAGACATTTCTCAAGGAAATGTAGCGGCGTAGATTGCCACGTGAAACGTGAGATATCCTCTATGTAAATGCTGGCGCATCCCTAAGGGTGATGGCCGATATCGCAGACCGAATTTGGGAGTCCTACGACCAGATTTCGCAAGTTTGAACTACGCCGAAAGACGATATTACCGTGATGAAAGCGCAGATTGCCGCACTCAACAAGAAGTTTACCGATTTCACAACTTCTCGGTGTAGCTGCCGATGTCGACCTTCAAATTGTCAACGTCCATTTCGATCAAAATCACCGCGTCGAATGTCTTCCTACAGCTGGTACCATCAATGATTTGGCCCGCAGGCCAAGTCGTGCCGCCCACCGTGTTCCTTCAAACGCAACTCGCAGGGGAAACGGGCCGATCAGCACGTAGGGGCGACGGACGTAGCTGGTCAACACAGTCGCCTATTCTTCATCACCGATCGACAAACGGAAGTTCACTATCTCGTCGATACTGGTGCAGAAGTCAGCGTCCTTTCACGTGATCCCAACGACGCAACCGGAAAGGTGATTGGTTCTCTACGCGCAGCCAACGGCATCAGCATCCGCGTCTACGGTCAGCGCTCACGCACGCTTAACCTCGGCCTGCGACGCTCTTTTAGATGGGTATTCCTTGTCGCTGACGTCCAAAATCCCATTATTGGGATGGAGTTTCTTCAGCATGTTGAGTTGCTTCTCGATGCTAAACGACATCGTCTCATGGATCAGACAACGAAACTTTCCGTCGCTGGAATATCCAGCGATATAGCATCGCTTAGTCCGGTGTACGCCACTACCAACTCGCCGGCCGGCAAAGCGCTACTTGGGAGTTTCCCTGCAGTCTTCCGACCTTCATCGTCTCTGTCAACTGCAGCCGCAGCTAAGCCGCATCACATAGTTACCAAGGGTCCGCCCGTCTCCGCCAAAACCCGAAGACTGATTCCAGACAAGCTCAAAACCGCCCGTGCGGAATTCGAGCATATGCTCGAACTTGGCATCGTCCGACCATCCAGCAGCCATTGGTCTTCGCTCCTTCACATGGTCCCGAAAAAGTCAGATTGGCGACCATGTGGCGATTATCGCGCCCTCAACATCGTGACAATTCCGGATCGTTAACCTCTCCCTCACATAGAGGATATTACAGCCGGTCTTTATGGCGCTCGCGTATTCTCAAAGATCGATCTGGTGCGAGCTTATCATCAAATCCCGGTCGCCCACGAGGACATACCGAAAACCGCCGTTAATACACCATTTGAATTATTCGAGTTTCTACGAATGCCATTCGGTCTGCGCAACACCGCGCAGACATCTCAACGCCTCATCGAGTCCGTCGTACGTGGACTCGACTTCGTCCACCCGTACATCGACGACATCCCGGTGGCCAGTTCTTCGGAAGAGGAACACCGAACACATCTACGATTCTTGTTCGAACGGCTGAAGGCGCACA